GTGGTTTGCTGATGTTGGTGGGAGAGAGAGAGAGAGAGAGAGAGAGAGAGAGAGAGAGAGAGAGAAAGAGACAGACAGACAGAGACAGAGAGAACATCACCACCAGCGCTCCGAGGTTAGATTGGATCGATATTTCTCTCTCTCTCTCTCCCACCAACATCAGCAAACCACTGTCACTCAAAATTCATATTAGTGGTCGGCGGGATTTAAAATTATGAGTTTGGTGGTCCCTGAGGTCCAAAAGGTTGGCAACCCCTGGTTTAAACAGTTGTTAGAGGAATGGTTGTAAGTCAAGGACTACCTGTGTTTACCTGTCCCTTTAAAGTCACTCACCTGGCTCTACCTCGATGTTGGCCATACCAGGCTGTAATCCTTTCTTCCCACATTTCCGGAGTCATCTGGTAGAGATTTATCACCTAGGATCAAAAAAAAAAGAAAAAGGAAAAAAAAAATAACTTTAACTCACAGCCCAACCTTGCCTGGCTGTGATTTCCTCTCCTGGTCTCATAATCCACCGTTTCTCAACTTTGGAAACTTATAAAAGTTGTGTGGACTTCAATTCCCAGAATTCTAGGAGTTGAAGTCCAACGTGCCTTAAAGTTGAGAAACTGAAGTCATAATCATAAGTTCAACTTCCAGAATCAGAATATACAGCTGGAAGGTATCCTGGAAGATGGATCTCCATTGGTTACTTTCCTGTAAACCAGCAATGGAAGATCTGGTTAACAGAATAACAGAGCTGGAAGGGACCTTGGAGGTCACCTAGTCCAGCCCCCTGCTCGAGCAAGCGACCCTAATTTCAGACAGGTGGCTCTCCAGTCTCTTCTTCAAAACCTCCAGTGATGGATCGCCCACAATTTCTGGAGGCCAAGCTGTTCCACCGGTTGATTGTCCTTATTGTTAGGCAGTTTCTCCTTAATTCAAGGTGGCTTCTCTCCTTGATTAGCTCCCATCCGTTGTTTCTTGTCCTGACCGCCCTGGTGCTTTGGAAAAGAAAGCATCATACTTTCCAAACCATGGCAGACCCCCTTTTCCACTAAGTCCCAGACAAGCTGAGTGGGTGTGAAATCCATCGTCCTTACCCGTTTTGGAAGCAGCTCCTCTTGAGCCAAGAAGCCACGCTTATGAACGCTGGGGTCGTAATCTCCATACTGCAGAGGGACAGAGGGGTTTCTGGAGTTAGAACAGGTGTAAGAATTGACGAGCCCTAGATAGCTGCAGAATCCTTCTGGACCACTTGTGTCTTCTCTGTTATGGAAGGGGGTGGGAGGAGGAGGAGGAGGAGGAGGAGGAGGAGGAGGAGGAGGAGGAAGAAGAAGAGGAACAACGTGGGGTCCTTGATTTCTTTGAGCTTGGTTCTTTTCCTGCAGCCATTTCATTACCAAACTGGGTAACAACATCAGTGCTTAGAAAGGACGTGGAGTTTGCTCTCAGTTTGTATTCTATTGGCTTGCCCTGACAGTGTACATTTTGTTTCCGCCCTGAGCTACAAATATGCTCCTTTATGTGCTCTATTCTGGTCATTAAGTTGAGGATTAGTTTTATACGAAACCCATTCGGTTTTAAGGAAGCCGGCCATTAAAAGGATCGTATGCGCAGATTCGTTTTTTTAAACGAATGGACAAAAAGCAGGATAATGTCGCTGCATTCGGCTCTTAACCCAGCTAACTAAAACTGAAGAGGAACGGGGGAGCAACGTAGCTGCGTTCGGCGGCTCGCGAATGAATTGGGCATGCAAATATCTATTATGTAACTGATTCCACTTGGCATCAGGAGAGAAAGAAAGAGAGAGAAAAAGAGAGAGAGAGAGAGCAAACCCCATCCTTTGAAATTCCTATTGAGCCTCCGCCGGTTCCAGCTATGAAGCTTTCCTGGTATAACCTTTAGATCTTTGGAAGGAAATTAAAACAGAAGTAGAACAGTTCATGTCAAGGCAATATTTATGGCAGGGATGCAGAATCGGAGCACAATACATATACATATAATAGCCCAGTAAATGATTTGGCGGCTTCTTTTCTTCTGGAAAGAATAAGGTTTGGACAATGAATGGGATCTGAAGGAAAACGAACATCTAAGGCTTGACTTAACACAAAAAGATAACCGTGGCTGGATTCAGAATGAGGAAGAAAGTGGAAAGGAGGACAAGAGAAAGGAACGGCTTTCTCTGTCAAGTACAACCCCCCCCCACTGCCTCTCCACTTCCTTTGGAGAGGCACAAGATGTACTGTGTTAGCACATTAGCTCTCAAATAGGGGACCCATCTATATATAATTACTCCTTCTGCAAGGAGTAAATCCCCAGATGGAGCCACATTTTACCAACCTTCTGGTTCCTAAAGAAAACAATCGGCTGAACTGGTTTGGTGTAGTGGTTAAAGGCTAGAAACCAGGAGACGGTGAGTTCTAGTCCTGCCTTAGGCATGAAAGCCTGCGAGATGACCTTGAGTCGATCACTAGGAGACTGTGAGTTCTAGAACCGCTTTAGCCATGGAAGCCAGTTGGGTGACTTTGGGCCAATCAACAGGAGATGGTGAGTTCTAGTTGTGTCTTAAGAAATGAAAGCCAGTTCCATGACTTTGGGCCAATCACTAGGAGACCGTGAGTTCTAGTTCTGCCTTAGACATGAAAGTCAATTCCATGACTTTGGAGCAATCACTAGGAAACTGTGAATTCTAGTCCCACCTTAACCATGAAAGCCAGCTGGGCAAATCAGCTCCATGACTTTGGTCCAATCACTAGGAGATGGTGAGTTCTAGTCCCGCCTTAGGCATGACAGCCAACTGGCTGCAATAATTCAGAATCTTCTTACTTAAGTAGGGTAACTTGCTGGTGATTTCCAAAAGTTTCTGCTCGTTTATGCCTCTTACAGTTGCGAAGGTTGAGAAACGTAGTTTTACTCTGTCTCGAATGTGCTTTTTTCCAAAAAGGCAACCTCCGGAGTCTGGCAGCAGCAAGGAAGAGGACTCAGGGGAGCCTGTTCCCAGTGCGCGTGTGTGCGCAGAGCTGCTAGAAGGCAAGAGCAGCTGAAACAAAAGGGGCGAATCGGGAGTAAGGCTGGGAGGTGATTGTCCTTCCCATAAGGGATAAAGGACAGGCAAAGATGACAAAACCTTTGCAGGAAGCAAAGTCATTCGCTCTGTTCAAATTAATCCTTGAAGCTCTGTGTGGACTTTGTACTTCGGTTGGTTTTTTTATAATTCATTTGGTACTTTAGTTGTTGGCAGCCATTCAAAGGAGAGAAAGGTGAGTGCTTATCTCGAGGGACTATTTGGGACTCATTCCCGGCTGGGAATGAACATAATTCCCAGCGTTGAAATAAAACATTTGTTTTAACTAAGCGTGTGCTTAATTACGGTCTTGGGAAGCCTTGGTTCAGAACAGGAAGACGTTTCACTTCTCATCCGAGAAGTTTCGCTGCTTCTTAACTAACCCTCCTCCCCAATGAGAACTGAAGAAGCTTCATGGATGCCTCCAGAAGTTGTAAATGCTCCAACACTGGAAGTTTCTAAGAAGAGGTTGGATAACCGTTGGTCTGAGAAGCGAAACGACTTCCAAGGCAAAACAAAGAAAGCCCAGCTGCCTTTTTGGGAAAAAACACCGTGATCTGGATGGCTTGAGAACCTCCATAGACACCATTCCTCTCTCTCGTCTTCCATAGTCAGATCCTGCAGCCTACCTCCCCGGTCTACCCTGACCACAACGATGACTTAATGTTGTTTCCTGTCTCCGTTCCAACAGAAAGCATTTAAGAAATAAGCCCCCGGGGGCCCTTTTTACAGCTTTGGAGGGCAAGCCTCCATCCTTTCCTGCGGCGGATTCTGCTTAATGAACTTGTCTGTTGTTGGAAGGTCTTTCACTGATGGCAAGATTTAGAGGGGCCGCCGGAAGCATCTCAGACAGCCACCTGTCTGGCTGCCAAAAGCTCTTTTACCTAAATTGGGTTACAGAGTAGTACCGAATCATTATTTGCCTGCGCTCGTACAATCCATCATCGAAGACCAATACTCTTCAGAGAGCCAGTGAAACCATTAAGAATTAAGAATTCAGGCCACGAGACCCCAAGAATGGAACAGGACGGCAACCACCACCCCTCCCCCAAGAAGTGAATACAAAGGAATGGTGCTATCTGGATCTTAGCTGTTTAAAACAAGCCTCCATGTCCTGCAGTGACCCACCTACCAAAAGCCAAGTTTATTATTATTCCCCCTCCCCAAACAAATGCAGATGTGGCTCCCCCTGGGGAATTCTGGGAGTTAGAAGTCCACACACCTTAAAGCTGTTTGAGACCGAAAAGCGAAGTTCTAGAGCAGAGGTGGGTAACTATGGGCCCCTTTATGACCTGCAGACTCCAAAAATTCCTGAGCCTGCCTAGGCCAAGTTCTAGTCCTACCTTAGGCATGAAAAACAGCTGGGTAAATTTTGGGCCAGTTGCCCTCCCTCAGCCCAACCCACCACACAAGATTGCAGTTGCTGTTGTAGGGAAAATAGGAGGAAGGTGTTGGATATGTTCTCCGCCTTGAATTAATTTATACATTTGGCATAAAATGTCACCCAGACAGCTTTCATGAATAAGGTGGGACTAGAACTCCCAGACACTTGGTGATTGGCCCAAAGTCTCCCAGC